TTATTTAAAATGCATCTCTGGGTTATTTGTGGGGCATAGGAATTCATTCATTTCCCCCCAAAAAATATAGTCCCCCCCCCAAAAAAGGTCTGAGGGACAGTGGACTGGTCCCCTGCTGAAAAAGTTTGCTGACCCTGTATACCTAAGGAAAAGCGGGACATTCTGGGATCAAATTAGACGGCGGGACGGCTTCTATGAATCTGGGAAATAGGGACATTTGGAGGGTCTGGATATTGTTGTAAACAAAAATTGCCCTTTTCCCTTATGGGGTATCCAAGAGCCCGTATAGAGTCCTTACATAGGTTCCCTATTGGTAGGAGAAAATAACAGAGGCCAACCAGAGAATATTGAGAAGCAAAGCAGCTAGTAAGCTTGATCTTTATTGATCTGTTGCAACAGGGTGCTCCCCTCACACACAGGAAAGGAGGAGGATCCAGAAAAATGGTGTGCAAGGCCTTATAAAGACTATTGAAATTGCCACCCTGTAGATCAAGACCACCCCCAGAAACATCATACCTACATCACAGAAGGGGTGTAACCTAAGACCACCCCCCAGATACGATACATCATACCTACATCACAGAAAAGGCGGTCTAAACAGAAATTTAAATGTTGTTTTTCTCTTGTCTGACAGGTTACTTGATTGGCTTTCCTGGGGAGCCTGGCCAGTCTTTTGTAATGATAAATACTTAGTTCCTGAGCCAGGTCACAGGCTCACACCCTATTCAAACACAGACATACCCTTAAGACAGGATTTGTGAAGGAAAAGACATTGGGGAGGCTTTTCCACTTTGACCTCGCAGAGAAAACATTTGCTCAGTTTAGGAATCAAAACGGCTTCAGGCTGGTCTTCCTGTGCTGTACGTGCGGTTATGAACATTGCCATATATCTAAGACCTCAAAATTCCTATCACAATATCACAGCAAAAGAATTCCACTTATCATCCCTGAAAACATTTCTGTGGTGCTGATGACGCCAAGGTTGCAGGTTCGATTCCCGTCTGGGACGGGAGCTGCCTCTTCCTGCAATGCAGAGGGTTGGAATAGATGACCCCTGGGGTCCCCTTCCAACTCTTCAATTCCATGAGTTTTAAGAAGCTCAGGGACAGCCAAGATAATGTATGTGACTCACCTGGAGCGGGGAGGGGAAGCCTTCTATAAATACTGTTATTAATTAGCGCTCTTAAACCTCCGTCCCAGGAGGTGGGAGATTGCCGAATTAAATCTGGGGGGAGCCCAGGGGACGGTGCAATTCTGCGTTAGACGAGCCAGACGGATGCCAGAGATGGGCAAAGGCAAACGGACGGCGATTTTTCATTGTTATTTTTGAAACGCTTCTGGGGAGGTGGGGGGGGAGGAAAAGGAAGTTAAACACACGCAAAAAAAAAAAAAAATCCTTTAATTTCCCTGCTTCTTACTCAAATCGATCGGCTGCCTATTTTAGCCGGAACAAATCAATAATTAATTAGGCCCGGTCATGCCGCCGGTGATTGGACCAGAGGGGGCGTTAGAGGGGCTGTGCCCAGAAAGGTGGGGGCTCCTCCAAATTTGTTTTGCCGGCTGGAGGAAGCCTGAACCGCCACCGTCTCCGATTAATTAGAATACGAACTGGGTCTGCACATTTAGAAGTAATTTCCCATGACTCTGGGGCGGCAGCCAGGCGTTTGGAGGTCAGACAAGGTCACACTTTAGTCGTGAGATTATTTACTGCGCAGATAATTGCTGCCCTCTCCACCAGGGGGCGCTCCAGAATCTAGGGTAAAACTGAGAAGGGGGTGGGCTTGGGGAAGGAATATTTTCCATTGCATTTCACAATGTATATAAAACGGGGAATGGTTATAACAGCAGAGGGGAATTGAAAGATGAAAAGCAGGCGCGGTATTATTATTATTAATAATAATAATAATAATAATAATCTCTTTGTGAGACACTTGCCTTTGCTCCAAGCTTTCTAGATAAAAGGCAGACCCTCCAGGTGCCCTTATTTTCCAGGCACAATCCCGGATCCGATCCCAGAATGTCCTGATTTTCCTTAGGATGTCCCGATTTTCGTTAGAGGGTGTGGAGTTATGCCTTGACCCCCGAGGCAAGGAAATATGTAACTATACGACCTTTAGAAGACATCTGAAGGCAGCCGGTAGAGGGACTTTTCTTAACACCTAATGTTTTATTATGTTTTTATATACATTGGAAGCTTCCCAGAGTGGTTGAGGCTACCCAATCAGATCAGCGGGGTATAAATAATAAAATAAAAAAGTAAAGGGACCCCTGACCATTAGGTCCAGTCGTGACCGACTCTGGGGTTGCGGCGCTCATCTCACTTTATTGGCCAAGGGAGCCAGTGAACAGCTTCCGGGTCATGTGGCCAGCAGGACTAAGCCACTTCTGGCGAGCCAGAGCAGCGCACGGAAACGCCGTTTGCTTTCCCGCCAGAGTGGTACCTATTTATCTACTTGCACTTTTTGGTGTGCTTTCGAACTGCTAGGTTGGCAGGAGCAGGGACCGAGCAACGGGAGCTCACCCCATCAAGGGGATTCGAACCGCCAACCTTCTGATCGGCAAGTCCTAGGCTCAGCGGTTTAACCCACAGCGTCACCCGCATCCCAAATAATAAAATGGTACATCCTTATTTTCATAGGAGAAGTGTTGGAAGATACGCACAGACCCAAGCTTACCAGGTCCATTTCAAAGCAGAGTTTTTGCTGTTGTCCCTGTTCTTTCCACGTGAAAACCTGCGTTTCACCACTGAATCACAGCAAGCGGCGCCCAGCTCAGATCCTGCATATGGGTTCTGATTTGTTATTTGGGCTATACAGTGGTACCTCAGGTTAAGAACTTAATTCATTCTGGAGGTCTGTTCTTAACCTGAAACTGTTCTTAAACCTAAGGTACCACTTTCGCTAATGGGGCCTCCCGCTGCCACCGCGCGATTTCTGTTCTCATCCTGAAGCGAAATTCTTAACCCGAGGTACAGTGGTACCTCTGGTTGTGAACAGGATCCGTTCCGGAGGCCCGTTCGCAACACGAATCGTCCGCAACCTGAATCGCCGTATCTGCGCAGGTGCATGGTGCGATTTGGCGCTTGTGCGCAAAGAGCAGTTTAGTGCTTCTGCGCATGCGTGAGCGGCGAAACCCGGAAGTAACCCTTTCCGGTACTTCCGGGTCGCCGTGGGACGCAACGTGAAAAAACGTAACATGAAGCAAACGTAACATGAGGTATGACCGTACTATTTCTGGGTTAGCGGAGTCTGTAACTTGAAGCGTCTGTAACCCGAGGTACCACTGTATGGGAAAACATCCAATATAAATGCTTTTTAGAAAACAGCAACTCCACGGTTCTACAATTCCGTGATTCCTGGCAATCCCATAATTCGCGGGAGCCTCCGCCATTGCCTCCCACACCTCTCCCACAGACGCTCTTTCTCTCTCCATCTTTTTTGCCTTTCTCTCTCTCTCTCATTAATTCTAACAAGCTTTGCAGCGCAGCGCTCCAGGGACGGCTGAATCACTCCGTTGTCTCTTAACACTCTATTTAAAAATTACTCCACTGTCAACACAAGTCGAACCCGGAAACATTCCCAGGGCACAGGGAATTAGAGCCGAAGGAGGCAGAGGCTGGCTCCAGGGGGTTTTGGGCGGTTTGGTTTTTTCTTTGCAAGCGTCAAAGCAAGGAAATGGGCACAAGGTGGGGTGAAATTGGAGAGCGCAGTAGGATTTAAATGCATTTGACTGTGGCAGGCCGGCTCTGGTGGATTTGGAGAGAGCACTTGCTACAGTGGTGCCTCGCAAGACGAAATTAATCTGTTCCGCGAGTCTCTTCGTCTTGAGGTTTTTTCGTCTTGCGAAGCACGGCTATTAGCAGCTTAGCGGCTATTAGCGGCTTAGCGGCTATTAGCGGCTTAGCGGCTTTAAGAAAAAGGAAACAAACTCGCAAGAACTCGCAAGACGTTTCGTCTTGCGAAGCAAGCCCATAGGGAAATTCGTCTTGCGGAACGACTCAAAAAACGGAAAACTCTTTCGTCTAGCGAGTTTTTCGTCTTGCGAGGCATTCGTCTTGCGGGGCACCACTGTATCTCTCTCTCTTCCTCACAGGGTGGATAGCAGAATTGCCTCTTGAACACAAGCAACTGCTTAATTACTGTACCTCTGGGAGCCTCGTCTTGCGGCGGATGCCAAGGGGTGGCTTCCCTCGCTGCGCTGAGGAAAGCAAACATTCCTTGGGAGGCGTAGTTTAAGTCGAAAGGAAAACAGGGAGAGGAGAGCCTGGCAGGGCCCTGTTGTAAATAAAAAATTGCCCTTTTCCCTTATGGGGTATCCAAGAGCCCATATAGAGGTCTTACGTAGGTTCCCTATTGGTAGGAGAAAATAACAGAGGCCAAACAGAGAATACTGAGAAGCAAGGCAGCTAGTAAGCTTGATCTTTATTGATCTGTTGCAACAGGGTACCTCCTCTCACCCGCAGGAGAGGAGGGACCCAGAAAAATGGTGTGCAAGCCCTTATAAAGACTTTTGAAATTGCCACCCTGTAGATCAAGACCACCCCCAGAAACATCATGCATACATCACCGAAGGGGTGTAACCTAAGACCACCCCTCAGATACATCACAAAAAAGGCGGTCTAAAACAGAATATTTGAATGTTGTTTTTCTCCTGTTCTTGTTTATCTCCTGTCTGGCAGATTATTTGATTGGATTGCCTGGGGGGCCTGGCCATTCTTTTGTAGTGATAAATACTTAGTTCCTGGGCCAGGTCACAGGCTCACACCCTATTCATATCTTAAATGTGCCCTTAAGACAGGATTTGTGAGGAAAGAGACAATGGGGAGGTTTCCCACTTTGACCTTGCAGAGAAAACATTTGCTCAGTTTAGGAATCAAAATGGCTTCAGGTCGGTCTTCCTGCGCTGATCTATGTGCTTGGTTGGTACACTTATGAACATTACCATATATTAAGACCTCAAAATTCCTATCACAGCCCGGGATGAACTAATGAGTTAAGGAGGGATGGCTCAGTCGGTAGAGCGAAAGACTCTCTGAATCTCAAGGTTGTGAGTTCGAGTCCTACGTGGGGCAAAACATTCCTGCATTTAAGAAGGTTGGGCTAGAAATGAACCTCCTAATCCCGTCCAACTCTCTGATTCTTGCTTACATGACTGTTTTTCCAGCTCCGGCTGGTTCGCCAGCTATGGCCCCAGAGAAGGGTTTACCTTAGAATCCTGCACTGCAGGGGGTTGGACTAGATGATGTTATAAGAATTTTAAGGTCTTAAGATATATATTAAATGTTCATAAATGTACCAAGCAAACAGGTACATAAATATATAAACCACATGCCTGAAGCAGCACAGGAAGACTGCCCTGAAACCATTTTCACTCCCAAGCTGACCAAATGTTTCTCTGCAAGGAGGGAGGAGGTGAAAAAAACACCTTCCTTGTTACAGGAATTTAGTAATCACCATCTCAAAGGAATGGCCAGACTACCAGGAAAGGCAATCAGAAAAGGCATTATCAGATAACCTGGCAGGACAGGAAACACAACAACATTCAAATTTCTGCTGTAGACCTCCTTTTCTGTGATGTATGTATGATGTATCTGGGGGGTGGTCTTAGGTTACACCCCTTCTGTGATGTATGCATGATGTTTTTGAGGGTGGTCTATATTCAAGAGCCTATATAAGGGCTTGCACACCTTTGTTCTGGGTCCTCCTCCTTTCCTGCGTTTGAGGGGAGCACCCTGTTGCAACAGTTTTAATAAAGATCAGGCTTACTAGCCGCTTTGCTTCTCAATCTTCTCTGGTTGGCCTCTGTTATTTTCTCCTACCGATAGGGAACCCACTTAAGGACTCTATACAGGCTCCGGAATACCCCATCAGGGGAAAAAGGCAGATTTTATTCACAACAATGACCCTTGGGATTCCTCCCAACACTACAATTCTATTATTCTATGTCCGGGTCCAGAGGCAGTCTAGCTAGACTCCCAGGAATTTCTTAAGACATTTGGCCACTGTGAGAACAGGAAACTGGCCTGATCCAGCAGCCGGGCTTTTCTGATGTTCTTATGGTGGTGGGGGATGAGTGTTCAGACCCATGGGCTCTCACTTGTGGGGTGCCTCTGGGTTCCGTCCTCTCCCCCATGCTTTTTAATATCTACATGCAGCCGCTGGGAGAGATCATCAGGGGGTTTGGGCTGGGTGTTCATCAGTATGCAGATGACACCCAACTCTACCTCTCCTTTAAATCAGAACCAGTGAAGGCAGTGAAGGTCCTGTGTGAGTGCCTGGAGGCGGTTGGAGGATGGATGGCAGCTAACAGATTGAGGTTGAATCCTGACAAGACAGAAGTACTGTTTTGGGGGGACAGGGGGCGGGCGGGTGTGGGGGATTCCCTGGTCCTGAATGGGGCAACTGTGCCCCTGAAGGGCCAGGTGCGCAGCCTGGGAGTCATTTTGGACTCACAGCTGTCCATGGAGGCGCAGGTCAGTTCTGTGTCCAGGGCAGCTGTTTACCAGCTTCATCTGGTACGCAGGATGAGACCCTCCCCGCCGACAGACTGTCTTGCCAGAGTGGTGCATGCTCTAGTTATCTCCCGCTTGGACTACTGCAATGCGCTCTACGTGGGGCTACCTTTGAAGGTGACCCGGAAACTGCAATTAATCCAGAATGCGGCAGCTAGACTGGTGACTGGGAGCGGCCGCCGGGACCACATAACACCGGTTCTGAGAGATCTGCATTGGTCCCAGTACGTTTCCGAGCACAATTCAAAGTGTTGGTGCTGACCTTTAAAGCCCTAAACTGCCTCGGTCCAGTATACCTGAAGGAGCGTCTCCACCCCCATCGTTCAGCCCGGACACTGAGATCCAGCGCCGAGGGCCTTCTGGCGGTTCCCTCATTGCGAGAAGCAAAGCTACAGGGAACCAGGCAGAGGGCCTTCTCAGTAGTGGTGCCCGCCCTGTGGAACACCCTCCCTTCAGATGTGAAGGAAATAAGTAGCTATCCTATTTTTAAAAGACATCTGAAGGCAGCCCTGTTTAGGGAAGTTTTTAATATTGTTTTTAATACTTGATTGGGAGCCGCCCAGAGTGGCTGGGGAAACTCAGCCAGATGGGCGGGGTATAAATAAATTATTATTATTATTATTATTATTAAACCTCCACCTCCAGAGGAACTCTGTCTCTGTCCCTAGGTTCTTAGAGGTATTTGGCTGCTGTGAGAGCAGGAAGCTGGACTCGGGGCCCCCCTTTGGCCTGACCCAGAATCCGGGCTCTTCTTGTGTTCTCGTGGAACCTCCAGCTCCAGAGGCAGTCTATCTAGACTACTCGGTTCTTAGGGCCTGATCCAGAAGTCTCTCCTCCAGTTCTTCTGTTCTGCACAACCAAACAATGGGGAAGGAACCCCAAGGGGTCCCTTAGCCTGTGAGCCCCCTCCCAGTAGCTCAGCTGCTCCAGTATCCAGTCCTCCCAGTGGCCAACCGAATGGGAAACCTATAGGACTGTGGTTCTGGATGCAGAAGCGGTAGGCAAATTTCAGCGGGGCTGCCAGCCGCCCTCCCGTCGCTGGCGACGGCGGCGTCAGCGTCCCCCGAGGAGCGGCTGTTTGCTTTGGCAGCCTTTGCTGCCCAGCTCTGCTCTGCTGCACGCAGCAGACGGCATCACGGACGGAGCACAGCTCCCCCCCCCCTCCTGCCTGTGTGTTTTGCTTGCCACATTAAAAAGCTTTATTGCTCCTCATCTGTTTCAATTACCCGCCCGGCTAGTGCCGGATTTACGTATAAGCTAAACAAGCTGCAAGGTTGCAAAGGGGACCCCCGAGGTCATCCAGCCCAACCCGCTGTGGTGCAGGAATTCCTCTGTTAAACCTGGAACGGGGGAGGCAGTTACAAGACTCTCCTCAAACCCCACGTCCCCTCCAGAGCCTCTGACTAAGGCCAGGATAACAACAACGGCCGTTGACACCGGCACCGTACAGCGTTGGATTTTCGTATAAGCAAAACAAGCTCTAGCTTAGGGCCCCACTCTCTTGGGGGCCCAAAAATTTTAAAGGGGGGGGAAACAACTGGATGTACATTTCCAAAATATAAGTGAAATATACTCGGAATCGAGAGTGGATTTCATGCTCTTTATTCAGCTCATAGTGGTGAGGAGGAATGGGAGTTCCCCCAGAATGTCTGCTTTATATACATTATTTACACAATGGGCTTCACATGATTGGCTAATTCCGGGATTCTCCTGTAAGCCAATCAGGTTGCGGATTCGCTTCCACTTGGAGCTTCACTGGATGGCTCCTGTGGACCAATCAGACTGCGGCATTCTGGAGCCTATTGTTCTAGGACCAATCAGGCTGCTGCATTTTGGATCCTATTCAACTCAGTATATAACAATAAGATAAAAAGCAAATAAAACGAAACCTACATACAGCAACAGTGTGTTGTGTTGTGTAGGCTCCTAGGATGTAAGGAATGGGCCCCACCTGCTTGCCTGCTCCCTCAAATATCCCTGCTTTGCTCCTTTCTATATATAGGGTGCCCACATTCTGTATGGACTGTGCAAATGGCTTGAGATACCTATTAGGTCCTTAAATTACCATCTAGCATATATTCAACACACAAAAAACAGCAACAATTTGTTGTTGTCAAAGGACAGCCGGACATAAAAAGGGCCCCATTACTTTCAGGAGCTCAGGGCCTCATCAAACCTCAGTCTGGCCCCATACTGGCTGCTCACAAAACCAAGTTCAAAGTCCTTGCATTAATTTACAAAGCCCTGAACAACATGGATCCAGGATATCACAGGGAACCTCCTTCTATCCCAGCTCAGTCACCGAGATCATCTGAAGGAGCATCGCTGGCCATTCCCTGAGCTGCGGAGGCTCATTTGACAACCATAAGGAACTGAGCCTTTAGTGACATCCGCCCAGTCCTGTGGAACTCTCTTTTTTTTTTTTTTAATAATTTTTTATTAAGGTTTTAAACAAAGAAAAAAGAAAAACAACACACACAAAAAACAATACAAAACTTAACAATTAAAACAGAACATAACAATTAAAAACAAACTCTCTTTTCCATTTCCAATTTTAGATTACTTATTTTCTGGACTTCCTCATACCTCCTTTTTTTGTATTCCAATCCACATTATTTGTCCAGCAGTTTCTTTTCCACTTTTTTAATCCCAATCTTTAGTTTACTAAAATGTTAACATATATAACTTCAACTTTTTTAAACCTAATCCTTACTCTTAATGTCGTATAGCTTTAAATTTTTCCCTTTTATTATCAAATTTCCATTTCTTTAAACATCTTTAATCTTAACCTTTAATCTTAATCTATCCTTAACTTTAACCTGTACAGCTGGAAACCACTTATTTTCAATCCATCATCACTCTAACATTCCTTAATTTTGCAGTGTTTCTGAAGATAGTCTTTGAATTTCTTCCAATCTTCCTCCATCGACTCTTCTCCCTGGTCACGGATTCTGCCAGTCATTTCCGCCAATTCCATATAGTCCATAAGTTTCATCTGCCATTCCTCCAGCGTGGGAAGTTCTTGTGTCTTCCAATACTTTGCGATGAGTATTCTTGCTGCTGTTGTTGCATACATAAAGAAAGTTCTATCCTTTTTTAACACCATTTGGCCAACTATGCCCAGGAGAAAGGCCTCTGGTTTCTTGGGAAAGGTATACTTAAATACCTTTTTTAATTCATTATATATCATTTCCCAGAAAGCCTTAATCTTTGGGCACGTCCACCAAAGGTGAAAAAATGTACCTTCAGTTTCTTTACATTTCCAACATTTGTTATCGGGCAAGTGATAGATTTTCGCAAGCTTGACTGGGGTTATGTACCACCTGTATATCATTTTCATAATATTCTCTCTTAAGGCATTACATGCCGTAAATTTCATACCTGTGGTCCATAACTGTTCCCAGTCAGCAAACATAATGTTATGTCCAACGTCCTGTGCCCATTTAATCATAGCCGATTTTACCGTTTCATCCTGAGTATTCCATTTCAGCAGCAAGTTATACATTCTTGACAGATTCTTAGTTTTGGGTTCTAACAATTCTGTTTCTAATTTGGATCTT